CACTCACTAGCTGAAAGCAAGAAATTCTGAGGTATTTTAGCACTCAGATTGTTTCCTGAGGAAGCCACAGAGTACAGACCCCACAAAGCCAGGGCCAGTTTTTAAAGGCTCAGCTGTGTAAAGTGCAATGTCCTGATGCAGGTACAGGCAGAGGCTACAGACCTTGGCCCTTTGACATGGCAGCACTGCAGGTACAGGCAGAGGCTACAGACCTTGGCCCTTTGACATGGCAGCACCAGGGGAGCAGTGGGACCACCTGTGTCTCAAGGGAAAAAAGCAGAGACTGCACATGCCCACATAGTAGGGGACCTTCATGCTGGTGTAGTTCTGTCTCTGATTAGCATGTTCTTACAGCTAAACATGCATTCCTTTATCCACAAGAAGATTTCTTAGCATTTATTTCTCATTTCACAGATCCTAAGGTGAAATTTCTCAGAGATTGCCAAACCAGTTGTTTTTCCTTCAAATGAAAATTCTTTGGATAATACAATATTACAGTTTTACCTTGGCACCAAAACACATGGCTTACTTTTCCTCCAATAAATGTGGAGATGCTGGAAAAAAAAACCACCCTCAAGATGAACTAACAAGATCTCAGCATTTACTCTCATTCCTGGAGCTTTCTCTGAGTTAACTTATCAGTGCATTTTCTGGGAGGCAGCAGCAATGCTAGCTAAAATGTAAGCATATTTGCTAGCTTTGATGTTTAACAGGAGCTAAATCTCTGCCTGAATTAGAGTTTAAATCCACAGGCACCATAAAGGCTTAGCAGTGAGTGCCAACAGCTGTACACACTAAATCAGGCTCTTATGCCAAAAATATAACCAAATACTAGTATACATGGGTGTAAATACTAAAATACAGGTATGTGCATGTAAACTAGGGTAGACTGAAACTCCTTTTTACTAACTTACTACTGTGTGCTTCAGGGACACTAAAATTTATGTTGTGGGGTGCTTTTTATAGGTTTTTGTTAGTTTGTGTATTTTTTACTATATGAGAGAATATGATGCATTTAACTGTAAGGTTAAATTTTGACAACAAAACTGAAGACTTGCTTTGTCATTAGAAACCCCAAGATGGCAATACAGTCTTGTTTTTCTTTGCTGCTTATATCTATTATTAATATTATTAGCATCATCATAATTATCATATTGCAGTACATGGAACAGATTTGTGATTTTCTCATTTGCTGACATCTAAAAGCCTTGGTGATTGCTAAGGATTATTTATACAAAAAATTGAAAGCTCTGACTACTTTGATGTTAACTGAATGAATGAACACTTTGCATGACCTGGAGTTATTAAAAGGTTCCATTTAATAATGTCAACCAAATAGATATCTCTGCTCAAGTTTGGCTTCATTTTAAAGACACATATAATATGGTTAAAAAGAACTACACTTATATATTATTTTCAGTTCAGCCTACTCCCACATATATTATATTTTCAAGTAGCAGCCTATTTTGGTTATCTGTATCCTGATCACTTGTGAATGAATTCACACCAGAACCCTTGTGCTTTTCAGTGTTCAGGTAGCTTCAGCAGAGCCAAGGCACTCCATTCTGATGCAGGTAACTTTTACTGCAGAGAAGGCAGCAAGCAAGCGAGAGCAAGCGTCCTTCACCCTGATGCTTGAGGAGAGAAACTGCAGATTTATCAGATGGGTTACTCCCCTTGACTGCTGCCCTGGACTTTGTGAAGTCATGGCAAAAAGCACAGAGGAAAAAGCTGTGATTTCAAGTGGGTTAGCTGATATGGGATGGGCCAATGAGAGATGTGTGCACAGGGCTGTATGGTGATGAAAGATTAGGTTCTCCCAGCAAGGTCACCCACATCCCTGCCCCTGCCTGGTTAAATATCAGGTTTAACAACAGAGGGCTCAGGTAAAGCTGGGTGGGAGTGCAAACTTCTAGTCAGACAAATTTCCTGTGTTCACTTTATCCAGCCCTGCACTGAAATAAATTAATTTCCAATAGCAGGTAATATCAGTGAGAAGTTCTTGTAGTGTGTCAGGAAAGATGTTGAGACTAATGCTGACAAGGATTTTTTTTTACTCTTTTGCTAACCAAAGGAGTAGGAATTGCTCAATAGTGAGACAATGTCACTCAAAAATAGATAAATAATACTAGAACTCTCCAGGGTCATTACAGTGTTAGAAGACAATGAAGATGTAGTCATTGATCTTTGAAGGTCTGTCAAAATTTTATGCATATATATATATATATATATTTATGTCTCTAAGTTTGAAGGTATGTAGCAAGCAGAGAGAGAAAGACAAAGTATGTCTGAGTATACTGCTTTAGAATAATCTAATAGAGAAAGACAGGAGAAAGACCATTTATGCAAACAAGGCCAGACTGTCATCATAACATTTTGCAGCCTCTGAGTACAGGGAGGGCAATGGCTGGTATGCTAGGTCCAGGACTCAGCACTTCCTGCTATAACAACTGGCTGAAATCATCTATAAGAAAATGGATCACAAAATTAATTTTATGAAACCATAATATTTGGAGATTAAAGCCACAATTCTCTGGATAAAATCTGTTTCCTCTGGAAGACAAACAAAAGACTTATGATTAAGCACTCAGTGCAATATCCTTTTTTCTGCCTTTCTATCTTCTCTAAATATCATTGCCACTTTAATACAAATTGTGAAGTAGTAGCATTTAAATGGGAAATCACATGGGAGGACTATACTGTATTGTTACTGAGATGCAAAGTGTCTCATTTTAATTTATTCTCCATTAGAAGAATGATGCTTAGAACATACCCATGCAGATTACTAAAGCTACCCTCAAATTACTTCTGGGAAACAGAAAACACACCTTCAGAGGAAGAAGTTCTTGTGGTGGCTAATGTCCCTCCCAGAATAAACATTTTGAAACTAAGCTAACCAAACCCACAGGAAACCATAGATAAGAGGCTTTTCTGTGACTGACTATAAAAGTCAGAGGAAAGGGTACACCTACACCATTCCTAGAGGCAAACTAATGCTTTTCCCAGACTTAGCTGACCAGGTAAGAAGGGAGAGGGGAGAAGAGACTGAATTATCCTGTCACATCACGAGGGTAGGTAGCTAATCCTGCACTAACAGAGCTTCTGAACTACATCTGAAAGGGCAGAATGAAGTGAGCTTGCACTGCCAGTTGATATTCTGCATGTGTCATGCATTTCTGTGCAGACTCTTAGTTTCCAGCACTTTGGCAGCTTTTAAAGCAGCAAATTTATCTGAAAATTAAGAAGAGTTTTATTGCTTAAACAATAACAGAAATATTATTATTTCTGTTATATATTTTTTTATAACAGAAACCTACCAAAACCTCCCCTGCCCAGCAACCCAATCATAGCTGGTGCATGAAGCAGGCTGTTTGATTTAGCATAAACTGTTTTTTGCAGGGGGAGTGTGTGAAGAGGAAAGAGTACAAATGGCTCCATTTGAGTTCAGATGCATTTCTGATGACTTAAAAAAAACAGCTGAAGGATGAAAAAAGTCTTTTGAGCAGCAAATGGGGATTTATAGGGATTAGAGTCACAGGTTTAGGATCTGGAAAAACATTTGTTTTGTATTATTGTAACAATTTTTATGGATTAATTAATTGAATGGTGATGAGAGTAACTGCTTTTGATTTAATGCATAAATGCATAAGTCTGGTTTGGGAGTGATGGGACAAAAAGAGTCCCATTATTACCTATGGCTAGCTGACTGGAGTGCTTGAATTCTGCAGGATGTTCAGCATTTGATGAGTGGGCAGACCTTAGGCATTTTTTTAAATGAAGTGCTGTGATAGATGTACACAGAAAATTCCAGGGTGATTTACATCCTCTGTGATACTGCAGAAGACAATAAGATTGCTTTCAGGGACAGCGGGGAGTTTTGCCTTTAGCATTGCTCATTTTATTCAACATTACTATTTCTAATCCTCTGTCAGAAATAACTGCAACTTCTAATGGTTTCACATGTTTTTGAGGTAGCTCCTGACCCCTGTGAACCCACAAGTGTGATCACACAGAGGACAGCTAATTCCCTGGCAGTTTGGATGCACGCAATGCGTGAGCACTCAAATGCAAGCACCAGCAGAAGTACAGGAGAAAAAAGATCCATCTATGGAATCTAGTTACATGTGCTTAGCAGGCTGGGTCAGCAGTTGTGATCCCTCACTTCAGAGGCTCAGAAATGTTCACTCCTGGACTTCTCAAACCATTTTCTTTAAATTCTGAAGTGTTTATATGAGTTATTTGCATTTTCCTTCCATATTGCCAACTGAAATATGGATTTTGCTAAAATTGGAGGAAAATCGAGATGCAGGAAATAAAGTTAATAGGCACATATGGGTAGAATATACCTACCACATACAAATGTGATGAAATTGATACCAAGAAAGTGATAAAAAATTAGTATTTATTATCTTTTTCCAGGAATCCAGCATCTCATTAGATGACATTTTATATCATGTTCTTCATGCATGGCAAAATATATTTCACCTGAGAAACATTATAAGACAGATTTAAATTCTAGAAACAGATGCTTTTTTTTAAAAAAAAAAAGAAAAAAATAGACAAATTCTTTTCTGCCCTTGAAACATCACAACCAGCTTGAAACAGCATTGGTCATATGCCTTCTGATAGAAGCATGAAGAATAGAGGCTTTTCTGTGACTGGGAGGGTCTAAAGAGGGACCTGGTCATTTGAGGAAATGGTCTTTCCCCCTGCCTCTGGTTTTCAAGTAATTCTACATTTAAATATATCAAATTAAATGCAGGCATTGGTATTAAGCATATATCTAAAACTACAACTGGAGGTCTTTCAATCAGAGTAGCTTAAAAGAAATTATGATACAAGTGAGTATTTTCAATTTTATTTTAATGGAAAGAAGCATGTTAAAGTTGAAAACATCAAATGATGAATTGTCTTCTACTTGGGTGAGTTTAGAAACCTCCCACAATCAATGAGGAGAGCAGAGAGACCGGCGTAACATGCGAGACATTTATCAGGTTTACCTGCTTGTGAGCGTGGTCATAAGAATTGATGTGGTTGTCAAATTCCTGGTGTTTGTGGTACTGCTTGTCACATAGTTCACAGTAGAAGTTGGCCTTCACATCCTCCAGGGCCTTAGCTGCAGCTTTCTCCTTCTCAGCGTAGTCCTGCAAAGGCAGAAGCAGAGGGAGACGCTTCACCTGAGACCGTGAACTCCTGTTTCAGCAGCTCTTTTCATCCCAAACATGCTAAGGAGGTTTTGGTCTTCAACAAAAGAGTTCTGTTTCCTGGGAAATCATTCTCACTTCTCACTGTAAATTCTGCAGTCAGAAAAGTAGGGAGGATTGGGGTGCAGAGGAATACTGTCAGGACACTGCCTAGCTCCTGGGCAGGAAAGCTGAGCAGTGAAGAACAAGCAAGCCCCCAGTGCCAGCCTGTTAACTCTGTCACCAGCCCCAGATTGCCTCAATATCTGTCTGCTCTTACAGGTACTATTCCTCACAAGAAATAAACTGGTTTAATCTGATACTATGGCAGATTTCCTTTTGTGTTCTGACTTCTATGAAATATTCACTGGGGCCAGGCAGCAGATTGCTATGGCTGGCTGAGATTTCCCTAGAGCAGAGCCACCTCTGCAAAGGCCTTCTCTGTTCTTCCCTGTGCTTCCCAACATCTGCATGAAGGGACACACCATCCAGCCTAACCAAACTGAAACTCTTGCCTGCCTGACACAGGCCACAGCCACTGAGGAGAGCACCAGCCCATGCCCAGGCTCATGCAAACACAGCTGAAAACAGGGAAAACACAATTAGTTCTTACATAGTTGACTTCCATTTCTCCCCAGTGGCATAAGTGAGTGCTATGGAGAGTCAAATACTTCAATTCAATACATAATATTAGGTAAAACCAGAAAATTTCAAATGTAGAAGCCAAAAGTTACGGAATTCAAATTAATGCACTTAAATAGAGGGCCTGATATGCAAAAATGGAAGCAGCTTTTGTCCATCTTATTTCTTTTAGAAACCCTTCATTATACTGTTATTATTATGACACTTCCTTAAACATTTTGCATTGAAGTGAAAACTTCTGATATGGAAAACAAGAACAAAAAAGTTGGTAGAAGCTATTCATTTTATATGCATATTGACAAGCTGATATTTCTTGAGTGTATGTAATATATTGCCAGGGATTGCAGTAATTCATCATTTGCTGCATCATTTTACTCTTCTAAAGAAATGAGTGCTTTCTGCTGGCAGGCTTTCCATGCTATGCAGCCATTGTTGTCTGCTGTCCACATGTTTCACTGCTCTTTGAGTGACAAACCAGAGCAGAGGAAAGGCAGGACACGCTGCACATCTGGGACAGCCTGCTCTTAGCACATCTCCCTGCCCAGCACAGCTCCAGGGATCAGAGCTGGGTGGAGGCTGCTGCTTGGGTATGGCAAATGAACATGAACAGACATTTTGAGCCCTTCAGAGGGGAAAGAGCTTAATGAATGACAGGATTCAAATCTGAGACTTGGCCAAGCAACCAGTCCTGGTTGTCAGTGTGAGACACTGAACTTTGCACAGCTCTGTGCTGTGAGCCCTTCTGTTTTACCCTGGACTTCACATCCCCAGATTGGTGTGAGTAGGTCTCCTTTACACCATGGTTTGAGAGCCTGCCTTTGCTGTTGAGATTAATTTCATCTAAACTCAGCTGTCCAGAAGTCAGGTGTGTGGGTAAGACAGTATCCTGAACTTCTTCTGTAAGAAACAGAAAAATGCTAGACACTGCCAAATGGTTATTAATCCCATCTATTTCAAAAACCCATTTTAGGATGAGATTAAATTCTCCAGAGGTTCTATCTCTTTCCAACCACTGCAAGGCTCTACATTACTAACTTGGCCTACATCCTTAATTCTTAGATTGCTGGACTCAAAGATAATAAATTCTATAGTGTATTTCTTTAGATTCAATTCTAAATCTCCCCATGAAACTCACATGAACTGACCTACTTGAAGACAGGAGGTCAAAGTGGTATACTGTGCCCAGAATTTTGATTTCACATCTTATAGAAGATACCAATGACATGTCAACTCCTCTCAGAGGGGACACATGCAAATAAATCTCTCCTGCAAGCATATAGCTCAGGTGGGTCGATATACTATCTATAGTACACTCAGAAAACAACTAAGATGAGCGAACATTGCTCCACTTGAGAGGCTGCTCAATTATGGTAGTTAATCCTTGATTGTATCAGGGAGAAATATTCTCACAATCAAATAGTTAAATAGCTTTCATTAGTTATTTAAATTTACAGAGCCCATTAAAAAGTGATACTTTTCAGCTTATGCTTCAGACCCATTGTTTTGCTAGCATTAATTATTCACCAGGCCTTTGATATAATTAAAATGCATAAATTAGAATGTGGATGCAATAGTATTAATTATGCAGAGATGTCTTCCCTGAAAGTCAAGTGTTGGAGGCAACATATTTTTATTCTAAACTAGTAAAAATGTAAGTTTTGCACTCACTGGAAGCCAGCCAAAGCATAATTGTTTAGCGAGAGGGGTTGTGCTTCTTTTTTTTCTATTTTTTTTCCCCTTGGTCTGAACTGTCGATTAAATGTTTACAACCTGCTCCATCATTCCTCCTGGTGAAGGAGAAGCCTAATTGTTAGACACCACATTACTGACTGTAAAGCACAACTGAAACTGCTGCTCATGAGCATTCCAAACTGCCAACTTTATCTTTCTCAGCAGAAATTAATACAGTTCCCTTCACATAAAGATGTTTTAAAACAGCAACAAGGCAGCTCCCAGGTGCATCCTAAGATAATCACAACTACCTCCATTGCCTTATTGCTTAATTATGCTTGTCTGCCATGGCAAAAGATATAACTTCCTGCTCACTTATCGATCAGATGCAGGGAAATTGAATGCCACATCACATACTTTAGAAAGGTCGTGGATTTTTCTTCCTCTACAAAGACATAAGAACTTCTAGCACTACTGTAAACTGTGCCTAGTCAAATGAATTTTCACATCCAGACTTGTAATATCATCTCAGTAGACTTGTACAAACCAATGGTCAATTCTGGCATGATGAATGTGATCACATGAAAGAAAACCTATGGAATTACCTGTAGAAAGCATACATGATCAAGAAGGCCTGATCACACAAATGCAGACACAGGCAGGCAGGAAAGATGCACAAACACATTTTGAAGTGTGGACCTTCACTGGTAAGGAATATATGTGTCACAGGCACATAGCCTTTATTCTGGATCATACCCTTCTTACTAATGGCATACAGCCTGGGTAGATGAGTGTACTCATAAAACAGTATAAATTAGCAGTTCTGTCTTTGAGTCATGGACAACAGTGGTACAAGCTGATGTAAGGGGTGATGCCATCCTTGCAGGTAAGAACTCCTAGAAACCATGGATTAGCCAACTTCTGTGGTGCTAGATGCAGACAGTGCAGTGTACAAAGATAAACAAGTGCAGAATATGTCTCTGCATTTTTTCTAGAAGTCTGAAAAATGGTTCTGTATTATAGACTGTAATTGCATTCACATCAATTTGACCCACAGAGACACATAACTGTAATAATTGTTTATATATGGGATTAATTTAAAAAAAATACTTCTCTAGCATGTTAAGCTAGAAGTGCTTTCACTTAGCAGCTACTTTTGCAGTATGATTCGTATTGTGAAAATGCAATTAATGGTAGCTGACATTTCATTTTCTAATATAGGGAAAATCAATGAAAAATCCCATGTAACTGAGTTTTCTTGAATGTTGCCACTGAAATCTAGTCAATTAGATACCATTTATTAAATCCAGAGTCTGTAATAGATATTTAATAGATTGCATGGCCATTAAAGGATGCTGATCTAGACAAAACAATACCACATTTCTTGTCTGAGTAACTGATAGTAAATATATCTGCTATGTTCAAACGGACTGAGGTGAAAAGTAGGTCACTTGATACAATAAAACTTGCAGAGGCAATTTTCTACAAACCCATGGATTTCTAGAAATATAGTGGAGTAAATGCATGGTGCTTGTAATAGAATATGAGAAAAATATAGCATCATTAGCCTGCTTTTGATTACCTATTTCTAAATTGGAATGCAAAAGTAGTGATGGAGCAGCTAACTCATATTAATACAGGGCTCAGTAAGTGACAGACTGCTCCCTCTTCAGGGACATAAGCAATCAGAGTTTTGTAACTTAAATATAATTTTGTGAACAAGATTGTATATGAATGCAAGTTTTAAATACTTATGCAACTACTGAAGTGCCTCTTGGGGGTTCTCAGGCTAGAGGTTAAAGGAGAAATAGGACAAATATAAGCACATGAATTAAATACAGATTACCATCTCCATCTAAGACTTTTTAACATATTTTCATTAGTGAATTAGATGACAAAATGAATTGTGATAATGTATTAATTCTATGAATGGTACTAATTAACAGCATAAGCTATACAAATGCTTTAGGGACCAGGATCAAGACTCAAAATTACTGTAATAATCTTCAGATATGATCTTAAATCAGCGAGATAAAATTCAGTAAGATGTGTGTCAAGTGCTGCACTTTGGAGGGGAAAATCACATTCATCGATACAAGATTGGGAATAGCTGAGTAAATGCAAATACAAGGGAAAAGGTCCAGGAACTAGAGTGGAAAAGAAATCAAATGAAAGTCAACAGTGAAAGTCAAGGCAAACCACATTCTGATGTGTTAATAGTAATGTTATAAGTAAGATGCTGAGGGTAATTATTCCACTTGATTCAGTATTGGTGAAATGTCAGATTTAAAATACTATTTGGTACAGCTACACTAGCAAATGACTTGGCTTCTAAAATCTGGCCCTCTATCATTCCCACTCCATGTGTGATAGCTCATTCCCAGGCTTTTTCATTTCAGAGTTCTCTTTGAGATAAAAATGATTGCAGTTCCAGAATAACATTTGGTGCAGGGACCACACTCTACAGGCAGCAAGGGTGAGACACCACCAACCTCTCCATGCCCTATATAGTCTTTTGAAAACCCACATGATTTTTCTCAAAGAAAGTAACACTTGCATGCCATAAAAACACATGCAGCATCATGTCACAAAACTACCACAGCAATGATTTAATGTAGCCCTTACACTTCTTCATACAGACTGAAAGAAAAACAAATATAATAATTACACCTAACAGTACCAGACAGACTGGAGTTTACTTAGGGCAATATGGACTTTTGGACAGTTTACCCTGGGTTATATGTGCTTTTTGGGGAAGACCAAAGCGTAGATGTAGTCTTTGAGACAGTTTTCTCCTCACAATTTGAGAAAGACCCATACTTATTTGAGAGATCTTTGAGCAGAAGTGTAGGGATAAGTGGTTTAAAAGTAAGTTACATGCCTACATTAGGCAAACTAGACCTCAATCTGTAATTTGTATTTTCATTGGATCATTAATGTGAGTACTTGTAAAAAATATTTTTGAGGGAAATCTATAGAACAGCCCAGGTTGGTATGGAACATCTCTGGGTGGTCAGGACCTGTGCATAGATGAGTAGAAACAGCAGTCACAGAGCCTTCATTTTGTGTGCTCATTCACCACATCTTCCAAATTCCCCAGTTTTAGAGATACTTGCACATAATTTTTATGTTATTTTTATGTTTTCTTCTGCAGCTGGAGTGAGATAGATTTTAAAAGATCTTTAAAAGTCAGCAGGCAGGTGATAGAATGCAGGAAGTAATCAAAGTACTTGTGTGCAGTGTGAGACTTGAGTACCACAAAAATGTCCTGATATTAAGATATGAAACTGAACATCAGGTTGGTTGAAATTAATGAACTTTTCCCTGAAAGCTCTCTCTCTTTTTTTTTTTTTTTTCCCTCCCTGGAGAAGGTTGTTCTCTTACCTAAAGACTTTCCTAGGGAAGTTTAGCTATGGAGATGGAATAAAAAGCAAGTGATTTGTTCAGCTGCAATAGCTGGCAGTGCAGAACATTTTCATTTATCCCACATATGTTCTGCCATTGTCCACCTTGAAAACTCAATGCACAGTTTCTGCCACTGTGGGATCTACAGTGAGGATTTACAGAGCTATCTATTGCAAAGGATTTTTTCTTCAAAGGCAGTAAATGCTGCCATTCTCAGCTGACTCATAGAGGTCAACACCTAACTTCTGCAAATAAGTACATCTTCATATTTTTCACACTCAGGCAATTACTGCAACATTTTCAATCATATTCACATCCATTTGCTACTAGAATGCTGAGAAGTGCAATGCTTTTAGCAGATCCTACATGCCCCTCAGAGTATAACCCTGCTGGGACTAATAGGACATGTAAACCAATTCCTAATCTAATTACTGTCAAAATCTTCACTGCTGATTGGAACAAACCTTATGGGACATAAGAATTCAAAGAACATGAGAAGATCAATCCAGATCTTCAGAAAAATCTTTTCTACGACGCATGGTTGCTGCTGGTAACTTTATAAAGGAATTAAACTTTGATATTTTCCATATTATAAATGGAGCATGCAACCACTAAAACTCTTTTTTTTCTAGATATAAAGGGCATTTTTTAAACATCCCAATGTGATTCAACATTTTTCTCCTCATTTTCAGAAACTGGTGGAGTTGAGGGAGCTGCATGCATTAGATTTTCTGAAAATGTAATCAAGAGTTGAATTGCAAAGGTAATTAGGTACCTAACTGTAACTTACATACAAAATCGTGTGTATTCAGTTTAATTCTTAGAAAAATATACAATTAATCAAATTTGAACATTTTCATAATTTTATATTGCAAAGGGATATATCTAAAAGATAGTATATACTGGTTTTGTCTGAGATAATTTTCTTCATAGTAGTTTAGTTTTCAGCTGGGGTTAAAAACGTGACAGAATAATTATCAAAATATAATTTATTCAACTGAGAAAAAACTGCCTGGAATTGCACCCAGTGCAGAAATAAGAGTTCTAGGATAAAGCCAGCTTAAAGAGGATATTAAAAATAGAGTGGAAATAACATAAATGGGGACAAAGTTCAGTTTGAGAAAATCAAGGGGTAAAATGGAGATGTGTGATGAGTAGTGTCCCCACAGGTCCCTATTAGGACCAGTGCTGTTCAATAACATCACAGATGACAGGGTGGGGTCAAGTGCACCTACAGAGAGTTTGCAGATAACAAGAGTGGTGGGGCTGACATGCCTGGGGGATGGGATGCCATCCAGAGAGAACTGGACAAGCTCAACAACTGGATGCATGTGACCCTCATGAGGCTCAATAATGCCCAATGTAAGGTCCTGCACCTGAGGGAGGACAACCCTCAGTTGTACAAGAACATTAAAAAGGATCTGTTCCCATGTATTAACCAAATACTGAGATGCAGACTAAAAAATACATTAAATTTAATACAGAAAATACACAATCTCCAAACAGAGTGGCGAACACACTTGGGCATAAAGCCAAATGATATACACAAATCCTTCAATATATTTAGGCTGGAATCCATAAGGTTTCTCATCATCAGTGGAAAAGACTTAAGGACAACATTGAAGTTGCAGGTATCATTTTAAGATGAAGCATGATATATTTATGAGGGGGAATATGTGATGTGATTTGGTTGACTAAATTTGATTTGAAGATTTAGGAAAGTTACACTAAATCTGCTTAATGATTAATGTCTTGCTGCTTGATTTTTATCTCTGGGTCTCCTTGTTAATCTATGCCCTATATTAATGCTAGCATTAACATTTGACTTATTGCTTTGGAAGAGTTTCCAAGCATAAAGTCATTAGAGAACAATTTCAAAATAAAAATGCTGCCATTAAAGAAAGAAAAAAAAAATTGTTGCAATTCAGTTACTAGAGCAACAGCCCTAAGAAGATGAATAAATATGACTCAAGGACAGTCTGAGAACACAAAGGGCATCAGAGCTGTCAAAATTACTGGTGGTAGAGGCTGAAACAATTTCTGGGGTAATGAAACAGATGTGGGTTTCTTATAGTTAGGATTATATTCTAGGCATTTAAAAGAAAATTCTAAGAGCTTTATGGGTAAGATTAAAAAGATAAAAAATTATAGAGGATCTCAATATATTTCCAGCTACTCTGCAGATATGGTTCACTGATCTTACATGTCAATATGACTGTGGAAAAATGTAGATAGAATAGAAATGGTTTTTTGAAGTTGGACAGAAGAACTGTTCCTGTTATGGACAAGAAAAAAAAAATCATTCACTTTTTCCATATAGACCTGCTTTTCTTCACAAATGTGAGTCCTTTAGTGAATCTGATTGTGACATTTTTGTCTGCCTTCTATTCAAAGTCAATTCCTTCAATTTGTTCACTGATTCATACTACTTTCTCTCTCCTCCTCTCAGATGATCATTTCTTTTACTCCTTTTCTGATGAGTGAGGTATTATCAATTAATCTGAAGAGTTAGTCCTCCATTTATGTCTTACCATTCTCACTTTTCCACTTGCGATTTTTAGAGTACAATGCATGTTCTAGCACTGCATTTAATAGATTGATGTATTTCTTTGTCTGTCACTTCTTTTCAGATTAAATGTACTCGACATTTTTTAAGATCTTTGTACATTTTAACCTAAAGGCTTCTACAAAACACAGTGGAATATAACTTATACATAGTGTCTTTCATATTTGATCCAGCTAAAAGCACTTTGCAACTATGATTTTGATCATTGTTTAGGAAATTGTGTAGGAAATACAGCATTTGATATGAGCATAATAATAGTTACCACAAAACTCATATATGGCTGTTAGAAACATTTTTATTAAGTGCCTTTTTCACAAAATACAGACTAACCATATCAGATAGCATTTTATAGTTTTTAATAACAATAGCATTAAACATTTAAATCTCTCTCTTTTAACATTGTGGGACTCTTTCTTTGCAGATACCACAATATTAAAACCAGTTCCTGTAGACTTATTCAATATCATAAATGATGCAATATGTCTAATATCAGTGGGTTTCTTTGCTCATAGCAACAGAGGATAATTTTTAATTTTATGATAAAATATTAATAAACTATTAGTAAATCCAGTTTGGTCAATTTATTTCTTATATTATGTATATTTGCAATCTACTTCAGAAAATGTCTTACGGGGTAAGCATTAATCATACATTTGAATTATATTTATGCCGTTCACCCTCACTTAAAATTAATCTATAAGATACTGCATCATTGTTTCATTGTGTAGAATTTGAGAACAAGTTTTTAACCAGAAATCAGGGTATTTCTGCACATTAGCTTTTCATATATTCTTTTTTATTATTATTATTTTCAATAGAAACCCAGAATACTGATTAATGAAAGCTTTGGTTTTTCTCAGCACCTGAGGTTATCCAAAGGAAAAAGAATGAATTCCAAATTGCTCTATGAAGTCCAAATGGAAAAATAAAGTTTACTTTTTAAATTTATGTTTTTACATACACATATATCCTTCTTCCTCTGCAGCTCCCCAGATGCATTAATAGGTTATGATATTCTATATACTTTTTTTGCTAACTCTGCAATTTTATACAAGCTACAATTATATCACCTGACCTAAAGTAAAAAAGAATCTTCTCATTTGGATTAATATATATTTGCATTCTGATTGGAAAATAATGCCTGGGCAGGAGAGAGGAAGGAGGGAGGGAAGGAGGGAGGGAAGGAAGGAAGACTTTTTCTACCTCTGTTTTAGCCAAGTGCTTCTGGCTTGAAACTCATCCTGAAGCACACACGGCAATTTAAATTAGTTGATTTTTAAATACAATTGGACACTCAGCTTGTAGATTAATGGCACCCTGATGGCAACTTCCAAAGTTAAACTCTCTGTCATCCCATATTCTTCACCCATGATGCAGGAAATAACTGCCTGGAAGGAGTCCTGGTATCCAGTGCCAAGAGGTTTTTCTTCAGTTTTCATGTTCACTGTACAACCATTCCAGGGGTACATAACAGAATCTTTATATCCCATGGTATCCTGTTCAATTTACAGATGATCTGCCTGACTTGTCTCTGATCTCTTACCTTCCTTTTTTTCTGGTCATTTCTTTCCTTCACATTACAATCCAAAGCAGAGAGATCCTGGTCCTTCCTGCCAGTTTCTGGGTTTACCAGGCTGTACAATTGGTAGTGATCTTCATTAAGCAGCTGCAACAACTTACAGCAGCTGCTGTAAGTCTGCAACACTTCTGATTACTTATTGACATATATATATATATATATACATATATAAAATAAATCTTTAGAGCAAATTCCTGGCCTTCATGAGGATGTGGAAAAACCCCCAGACTCATCATCAGTTGTGACACCTTGTGCCACTTACCATTCTCTTTCTATGCTATTATCCAGCTTAAGGACATGTTGCAAAAGGGCATGAAGGGCTATCAAAAAATGTAGGCCTAAAATGCTCCACCCTATCCTCATGTCTTGGTGAAGCCCTTTCCCAGAAGCTGTAACAAACCACAGCTGTAGCTGCATCCGTCTCCAGCCCAGGCTCTAGCACAGCCCAGCATGGCTGGGCTCAGTGGAAGCTTTGAAACTGATTCTAACGAGACCATAAGATCCAGCAGTAGCAAGCACAATAAATGGGAAAACAAAAAAAAAAAACCAAAAAGGAAGATACAATTTAGATCCAGGGGGATTTACTGAGATTATTAAATTTAATAGAAAAGAGGGTGAGCACATTCTTGCAGACACAGATTTGAAAAAAATAAAAAAAACCCCCAAATTAAGGTGTGGAAGAGGAAAATAGCTGTTTAAAAGACTACATTTTTTTTCTTGCTGTGGTATTTTTTGAGTAAAATACTAATATGTTACAAAATTGATAGCAAACATCTATTGTGCTCTTGAATTCATCATGTATGATTACTACTATTAGGAACAGAACTGCATAATGCAACATGCAATTTAAAATAAAATGTCAGTGTCTGGGACACAAAAGATCTTAAACAGATACTTTGTTGAACAAATAAAAGATGATCCATCCTCATCTTCCCTCAAATGAATAAACTATATAACACGGAGCTAATTCTGTCACAAGTGCTTGGTTGGGAATGTCGTACCCAGACATAATGAGCACTTCTAGTGCTGCTGTGGAGAACTGAGGCTTCCTGAGACAACAACTCAAGCAGCTGATTGCTGCTTGATGCTGTAAAATGAGGTCTCCTGGGGTGTCCATTAATCCCATGAATTTACTGAACACAGGGCAATGTAGAGGTGCTTGGTTTTAGAAAAATGAGACAGGCTGGCGTCTCTCAACTTGAAAGAATATTTCTGGCTTCACCACCACCTATTATAGATACAAATGGGGTGTTCTCAGCTCCAAGAGTATCATCATTAAATTTCTTGCCTTATTGTGTCATATTTCCAAAGAAAGAGTCTTAAAGAAATGAGTGAATTTACATCCATTACAGACTCTCTGGATTCTTCTTTATTTTTTAACTGTGATTCTGTGTTGAATATTTAATGATTTTAATACAACATAAGTGAATAGAAGTAGTTCCTAACTTTGATTTTTATAATCTGTTAGTCTGACTATTTGTGTCATGAAACAATGCACAATCTTATTAGGTAATGGTGCATTTCTTTAATGAATATGAATACAAGTGTGTGAGCTCTCTAACTCTTGATCTAATTAAAATAGATGACTCAATGAATTAATGATGAGACATTTCCTTCCAGTATTTTAAACTTACATAGTAAAATGTCTGTTCTTCACTAAAATGCAACAAACAAAAAACATTAATATAATATCAGGTGTTTGCCACTGGCTTCACTGGAATGATACTTGGTTATGTAACTGTATGTATGAAAGCAGAAGCAAAGGAACATCATTTTCATCTCAGTCACAGTTTATTTTCTTGTAGTCCTGAAAAGAGCAGGGAGTTGGACTTGATCATCCTTCTAGACCCCTTTAAATTCAAGATATTAAACTCTATGATTCCTGCAGCAATGCAGTCCTGTAGTACATTGAGAATTCACTGAATTGCACAAGAGGATCTGGAGACCACACTCAGTGATTTGTGTAAAGTCGTGCATGTACCCATAATCAATCTGAAACCAATTAATAAACTACTGGGCAACTGCGAATGAGTTGGTGCTTAGAATATGAATGAAAAGTTTAACAAAGAATTAATGTGGATGGGCAGGAAAACCTCCAACAACTTGGCATAGAAATTGTATTAATAAGCCTGGGGGAATTATTTGTAATTACTTGCCTTCTGCACAAACTTTCTATTGCCACAGTTTCTAAACCACATTATTTTGTATCCATCCCATTGACACTTCACTGCTTACATTTCTGTTCAAACCAACCCATTCTAGTGCATTTCTGTGGCTGGTGGTTTGGCTCTAAGGCACTTGACTTTCATCCCTGAACAGCTTTTTCTGTACACTGGTAATATACTGTTTGGAAGACCCAACAGAAAATTAACCATTATGAGATTTGATGTAGTAATGTGTAGCTGGATTTTTCTGAGCTGGCTCACACTAATATCAACAGCTATCTGGTGGGACATGTGCTCTCACTAGTGCAAGTATTCACAACCATGTCTCACACATGTGGGGAATAACACAAGTGCACTGCAGAAATGTACAGGAAATACTAGTTTTGTCAGGTCTCATTGCCTGTATTTAGAGATAGCCTTTTTAATACAAGTGCATACCATGGGGAATTTCTAAAAGCAGAAGTTCTGACTTGATTCATTAGGGCTTTTACTAGTTTATTCAGGAAGTTAAGTCTGTAGTAATCTAAATGCAACCGGGACTTCATTTGCATTAAGACAGGTGTCATCAAGTGAGATTCAAACTTCATAATAGCAGTTACTGCTAGCCTGAAAATTTTCTTTTTCCCTATTTGAGAGGAACACAACTCTTAAATGCTGGATACTTAGCCATATTCAGTGACCTCTATTCATAAAATTCCAGTGATGAATTCAGTACAAGACACTTTCATATATTCAAAATCCTTATCCTATTCTAGAAGAGTAACTCTGACAAGTTTTGCCTTCAATGCTCTGTATGTTTAACAGAGAGAAATAAAAAACCAACTAAAGCCATATGTGATGTATGTGGTCAAGTCTGACTTCATCTTTATGACAATTTGTCATATGGTTGCATACACTTATATCTATTATTCAAAACATCATTCTGAAACTTGACTGCCTTCCACAATGAGTACAGTGCCAGGACTTTGGCCTCAGCAAGCTCAACTTTACAGCACAGGACTTGTATTCACCTTTCTGGAACCTGTAGTGCTGTGTTTGCCATCACAGCTGCCTCTTGTGAGCCCAGTGTAAATCCAGCATATTGAATTGAATGAGATACCATTTGAAAATAACAAGAGAAGAAATGGGCTTTTATGTGTCCCTCCTCAGGGACTGGGATGCCTTCCTGAAATTAAATAGCTAAGCAGCTCCTTGCAAACTTGGCTCCCTTTCATGTCTTGCCCACTAAAAGTTGAATTTTCTGTTCAATTTGTGAACGTGGTGCTACATTTATTCATGTCCCTTTTCTAACCACCAGGAGGACAAAGGAGTTCAGTACAACACTTTATGCTTCCATGGCGAATGTGAAAGCAAGCGCTGAATGACAGGAGTAAGATTCGCCTGTAGGTTTGTGGCTGTGCCAGAAATAGCACCCCATGTTCCAGCCTTAGCCCAGTGAACTGCATGACTACATCTTCAGTAATTTTAGTGAGTGAAGATATCTAGAAAGCATGGAAAATGTGACAAAGAAGATGATTGGAAAATAAAGGAACAAATGACAAAGCGCCAGAGGAAATATACAAGGGAAAACATAGCCGTGGAAGATGATGGAGAGAAAACCTTCATGCTAATTACCTAACTGAAAAGAAATCTCAGCATGTTGATATTCATTCTTCAACATTTTCTGTTTACTGTCTGTAGTATAGTATGTATAACATAACCACAAAATTATTTTATAGTTCCATCTAATATGTATATTAAATACATCATATTATACTATAACAACAGTAGTAAAATAGTACTGTAAATATACTCTATATAATATCAATGTTATTAATATTAACATTAATATTAATGTTAATATTATATTACTAGATTTTTTTTACTACATTATAAATACTTTAAATTTATATATGATATTACTGTACACAAGTGAGAGGAAATTGACATCACTAAATCTAAATATTATTATACTCAACATTATACTCTGCTATAAGGAGAAATAGTGTTACTACTATCCCTTCTACCAATTTGGCTCTCCTAATAACGTGTATTTTCAAAAATCACTTCAAGTAAACGTACGGTGCCATCGCTTCTTGTATAGTTTTAATATCTTTAAATTTACAGCAGAGTGCAAAGTTAATGGGTGTGAATATTTGAGATTAACTTAAATGTAAAAAAATCTTGCTTTCATGTTTTTTTGATTTTATGATTAATGTTGAAAAATGTCTTTTTTCAGTTAGTTTCATTTTTACTGAAGATTCCATAAAAGAGAGGCTACTTACAGTAATGAGAGTTTATGACAAGTTAATCTTTTAATAATACATTTGTCCCTAGTTTCTCTAGTTTCAGATTTTAACTCAGTCTAATAATAAATAAAACAACTTTGGCTGCTACTCAAGATGAAACATGCAAAGGTCCATGAACTGAAGTATTTTCTTCAGTAGATACTTCTCAAAAATTTCTATTCATAAAAGTCATAGTTATATCCTGGCAATCCTTATCACAACTGTTCAAGATGTACTGTTCTAAAACAAGCACTTGCTTGGTTATGCATGCATAATAAACCCTCTTACTGAATTTGCTTTTCCTTACCACTGCTTCATTTGCAAATGTAATACATGCTTGCATGCAGAATCGGATAATGAAATTAATGTCATGCTTATATTTTCAATAAACAAAAAAGTACTCAGCATACAATAAAATAATGGAAAATTAAAGTGACAAGGCAAACAAGATAGTCATACAACAGGCACAAACCCATCCC